TTCACAGGGGTCTATTGAACGTTGTAGGGCTTAGCTCACTGCTTCATTTCTGCTTTTCCCTCACTTACCCTTATGGGTGACGAGCGTGGTCACTAATCAGAGTGTGTATTCCCATTGGGTCTTTTTTTTTTTTTTAATGCTTTATTGTGAATTATGTGATGATGGTTTATATGGGAGGACATCAGCTTCACATTAATCCCATCGTATATCGTTTCCTTGCCATGGTTACAATCCCTTCCATGCATCATCCATCAACCAAAGGGTATACCCCACAAGCCTGCCCCCTGTTGTCTGCACACCACCTCTCTCTCTCTCCAGGTCCAAAGTCTCCAGCCACTCCATCTCCCCATGTCATCATCTCTGCCTCCATCTCTGGCATCACTGCTTCTCTGGGTAGGGTTCCGTTCTCCCTCTTCTCCTTTGATGATCCCAGGGACCTCAGTTCCTAGACTGCAAGGTTAATCATGCCCCTCCTTTTGCCCCCAAACCTCTGTCTACCTTTGCATTTCCAGCCCTTACAATCAGTCCTGATAACAATTATTCGCTATTGTATCACAAGAGACCTATCCGTATCTCCTTTCATCAACCTCAACTAGGCAGAATGGATGCTACTCAGTGGAGATTCTACCTTGCTCTACGCCATGCCCTCTGGATCTAGGTTCCCTCAATTAAAAGACTCTTGCAAAATCTAAGTCAGAAATGCTGATGGCTTAGACCAAGGTGGCAGCAATACAGGTGTGTGAAGTAGTTGGCTTCTGGGCTATTTTGAAGGCAGAACTCACAAGATTTAGGAATAGATTGTCTCTAAGGTAAGACTTACAACTTGTAATCACACTAAAGTCACTTCTTAGTTCATGTAGGTTCTTTGTAGATCCCTTGGGGGTTTCTATGGAATATCTGGGGGCACAAATGGTTTAGTACTTGGCTACTAACTGAAAGGTTGGTGGTTCGAACCCACACAGAAACACCTTGGAAGAAAGGTGTAGAAATTTGTTTCCAAAAAGGTCAGAACCCTTGTAAACCCTATTATAAAAATGGCCTGAAAGAGACCTCAGGTCTCCTTTAATTTTATGAGGGGGAGAGAGATTTATACCAGCATCAACAGCCCAAGGCTGATTTCTGAGACAGAAGTCAGACCTGCCTCCACCCTCCAACCTTTTCACCAATTCTGATGCCATCCACCCTCCCACGACCCTCTCGACTTCTCCACTGGGTTCAATACTTGATTGCAAGGCACACACAGAACTCTTCGACCATACTCAGTTACAGTTAGGAAACAATTCAGCAGCAAGAACATCTAGGATGCTGAACTCTTTGAGCAGGATAGCCTCTTCTCAGGGGTGCCCACAGGCAGGAGGGCTCTCTCTGGCCCTCAGCCCCTCAGTCTGACCTCTGCCTTGCTTGTGCAAGTGTTACAAACCCCTTTCAGGACTGCTGATAAGTGCCTACTGCCACTCTACTCTGCCAGGAAGTCTTGGCCTGAAGGTGCTCAACTCTAACACCATGGGTCAACAAACCCAACTCCACCAAGTGCTCAAAGGCCCCCTCCTGCCTGAAGATGCTCAGCTCTCTCAAGCTCTGTGGGCTAGGAAGCCCACTGCACCATCTTTTTCTCTGTCATTACCCATCTGCTCCCGCTGTCTGTAATGTTACGGTTCCGTTTGTCTGCCTCCTGGGTCCTGCGCTATCCTCACAAGTGTCATGTTTAAGCCAATTGTTGCTGCTATGTGTCAGTCCATCTCATTGAGGGGCTTCCTCTTTTTTTGCTGATCCTCCACTTTACCAAACATGAATGTCCTCTAGGAACTAATTCCCTCCTGACAACATATCCAAAGAGCGAGACACAACGTCTAGCCATCCTGGCTTCTAGGAGCATCGTGGCTGTATCTCTTCCAGCACAGATTTGCTAGTTCTTCTGATAGTCAATGGTACTTTCAGTATTCTTCACGGACACCATAATTCAAATGCATCAGTTCTTTAACAGTCTTCCTTATTCATTGTCCAACTTTCACATGCATATGAATGAGGCTACTGAAAATACCCCGTGGCTTAAGTCAGGTGCACCTCAATCCTCAAGTTGATACCTTTGTTTTTTTTTTTTTAACACTTTAAATAGGTCTTGTGTAGCCAATTGACCTAATGCAATAAATGATTTGATTTCTAGACTGCTGCATCCATAAGTGTTGATTAGGGATCTAAGCAAAATGAAGTCTTTGACAATACATTCTTTCCTCCATTTATCATGATGATATTTATTGGTCCAGGTGCTCCTCAGAAACTTTATGAGTTGGAACCAATGCAGCAGCACTTAACAAGAACCCGTTCATTATGTGGGAATTATTTAATATGACTGGTGGTGGTGGTGATTGTGTGTCACTGAGTCGGTTCCGACCCATAGTGACCCTGTACAGGGTTTCTGAGGCTGTAAATCTTTACGGAAGCAGAAAGCCTCATCTTTCTCCTGCAGAGCAGCTGGTAGTTTCGAACTGCTGACCTTGTGGTTATCAGCCCAGCTCAAAATCCACTATGCTACCAGACCTCCTTTTGATAATTCATTACACATCCCTCATCCAGATGTGCCTTGGAAGAAAGACCTGAAGATCTGCTTCAGAAAGACCACGGCCTTGAAAACCCTATGGAGCAGTTCTACTCTGCACAATTAGAGTCACCATGAACCAGAATCGACTCAAAAGATCACTTCTGGCTGTTGAGTGTAGGGTGGGTGGGAATAATCCGGAAGAGGGGAAGTTGTAATGCAGTGGAAAGATGGGAGGGGGACTGCAGCAATGTCTCTGAGTAGGCAGGAAGGAGTGCACAAGAGAGGGACAACCTTGAGGGAAATGAAGAGAGCATGTGCACCTAGACCCAGGTTGGTGGGAGATCTGATGGTGAGACATCCCCATTATGGGTCATCAATCTCTGAGGACAGTTCCGCCTCAACCCCCTGGACTTTGAGCCCCATGAGGCTAGAGGCAGAGGTGACTTGATCAGTAACACTGAAGCAGAAGACTGGGCACAAAGCATATTGAAGGAATGACTGGCTACCATTGTCTGAGTTCTCTAGTCCCATTATAAGAGGCACAGCAAATGTGGGTGCTTTTAACACAGAGAAATGCATTCTTTCATAGTGTCGGAGGTTAGGAGTCTAAATCCACGGGAAGGAAGACTTCTTTCTCAGTTGGCTCTGGAGGAAGATGCTTGTCTCTTCTGAAAAACCCCTCTGTCTCAGGAGTGGAGGGCAGGTGTTGTAGAGGGTGGCCCAGGGTCTCTGAGCCGGGAACTTCCTAGCCCAGGAGACAGCTGGAACACCAGAGATGGAGAGAAGTAACGGCAGAGAAATTGCAGGAGATGGCATGGGCATGGTAGGCTTCCCGGTCCATAGAGTGAGAAAACTGAATGCCTTCAGATGAAAGTCTACTGGCAGAGTGAGGTGCCACTGGGCATTTGATGGGGCTAAAGAACTTTGTAACAGGTGCCTGAGTAGGGCAGAGGCTAAGCCAGCCAGAGAGACTAGTCTGTGGGCATGGCTGAGAGGAGGCGGCTCTGATCCAAGACCTATATACTGAATGTTCCTATTATTTCCCTACTAAACCCCAGAGTCTGGTCTGAGGGTTGTGTGGCTGTTGCAACAAATTCTCAAACCCAGCAGAGAAGTAGAATTCGCCGTGGGAGGGACGGCTAGGTCAGAACTGCAGATTGCAGATAACAAAGAACACTCATTCCCAGAAGTATAAAAAAATCAAACCAAACCCCCCTTATCATCAAATCAATTGCAGACTCGTGTCCCTAAATGGGGTTTCCAAGGCTGTAACTCTTCATAGGAGAAGAAAGCCTCGTCTTTCTCCTGTAGAAGCAACTGGTGGGTTTGAATTGCATTAGAAGTTCAGTGTTTATCCTGTGTTGTTGCCACCAGGTCTCCTTAACCACAGGTATAAAAGTTGGAATTTACAATACATGCTTTGTTGTTACTAACTGCCATTGATTCAGTTCCAACCCATAGCGACCCTGTATAGAGTCTCTGAGGCGCTGGTGAGCTTGACCCGCTGACTTTGCTGTTCAAACTGACTTTGCAGTCTTGCGCATTAAACCACAGCACCACACCAGGACTCCAAAGTCAAATTCACTGCTTTCCAATTGATCGTATGACCCTGCAAAGGGTTTCTGAGGCTGTATGTAAATCTCTATGTTGTTGTTGTTGTTGTTGTTATGTGCTGTGGAGTCGGTTCCGACTCATAGCGACCCTGTACAGGGTTTCCAAGGCTGTAAATCTTTACGGGAGTAGAAAGCCTCATCTTTCTCCCGCGGAGCGGCTGGTAGTTTCGAACCGCTGACCTTAAGGTTCGCAGCCCGATTCGTAACCACTACGCTACCAGAGCTCCTTAAATCTCTATAGGAGCAGAAAATCTCACCTTTCTCCTGCGGAACAGCTAGTAGTTTCGAACTGCCAATTTTGAGGTTAGCAACCCAACTCATAGCCACTACACTACCAGAAAGAACTCCATATTTTGGTGGTGGTGGTAGTGTGCCATGGAGTTGATTCCAACTCATAGTGACCTGGTATAGGGTTTCCAAGGTTGTAAATCCCACAAAAGATGAGACTTTCTGTCCCACAAATTTTATGGGACAGAAAGTCCCATCTTTCTTCCCACAGAAAGGCTGGTAGTTTTGAACTGCTGACCTTGAGGTTAGCAGCCCAACTTATAACCACTATGCTACCAGAGCTCTTTGCTCCATATTTTAGGGGGACACAACAGCCTGACACCCTTACATAGCCTCAACTGCTCAGGTGCCTAATGGACACTCTGATAATACAAATCACGCCGCTGCCCTGTCATAGCAAGTTGAAAGGGTCAGACCTGCACCAAAATATACCCACTTAATGGGTCACCCAAAGGAGCTCTGGTAGCATCGTGGTTACGAATCAGGCTGTGAACCTCAAGGTCAGCAGTTCGAAACTACCAGCAGTTCCACGGGAGAAAGATGAGGCGATCTGCTCCCGTAGAGATTTACAGCCTCGGAAACCCTGTCCAGGGTCGCTATGGGTCAGAATCGACTCCACAGCACTTAAACAACAACCACCACCAATGGGTCACCCAACCATTGGCTAACTCCTCTGGGGACACATATCAAAGGTCGAGAGGCAGTAAGGGGCTGCTTGTAAGTGTGGCTCAGAGATTCAGGTCTGACCATGCAGGGCCTTATGACCCAGGGTGAGAGTGTGACTCTGTCCAAAGGGTACTGGGAAGCCATGGCAGGTTCTGAGCACGTAGGAGCAGGTTTGTGCTTTAGAAAGACGCCTTGGCTGCTGAGTTGAGTGTGGGTGGATAGGGTGACACTGAGATGAGGAGGAAGGTGGGGCTGGATTGGGTCTGTTCCAGTCACCCTATGTCCCTAATACCATGTAGCAACAAACAGTGCTCAATAATTACATTGCGAATGAATGAAGGAAGGAAGGAAGGGCGGCACATTGGAAGTGGTGGTTCCTACACCACTGAGGATTAAAGCCGGGAGTCTCTACTGGGTCAGGGAGATGCTATGGCCTGCCCATGTCCCTTTGTTGAACTCTGCCCCCCACCGCCTCACCTTGCTGACCTCACTAACAAATTGGCTACTTCATTTAATATGAAGTCCTCTCAGATACCCACATACCTGTGCATGGCTGCTCCCTTTGGAATACTTTCTCCAGAATGCAGGCTCTTTACCGGCAGGCTTTTGCTTTTTCTCTCTTACTCACTCCTGAATCCACAGAACTGTAACACTGTGGAACCACTGTTGACAAACAATAACTTGGTTGCAAGCATGCACAAATTAATCCATCTGTGATACCCTATAGTTCGCCAAGAAAGGTCTGAACATCGTCCTCATCAGTCGAAACCTGAACAAGTTGCAACAGGAGGCAAAGGAGATTGGTGAGAACCAGAGGAAAGGGCCGGCAGGGGAAGGTCCAGGATGAGGAATAGAAGGGACAGAGACTGCAGCAAAGATGGGGACGAATTCTAAGTAAGGGTTTGACTCCCTCTCCCCCTTTCTCCCAGAACGGCTTCATGGTACCGAAACACGAATTATCCAGGCTGACTTCACTGGGGGCTTGGAGATCTATGGGGCCATCGAGGAAGGACTGAAGGGCCTGGAGATTGGAATATTGGGTAGTCCTCCTTCCACTACCCCCATGCTCACCCAAACCCTGAGCCCGATTGCAGTCACTCGTCTTCTGATTGACCCGGTCTGAGACTGTTGGAGTGACATAAACCATTTGTTTCTTCTGGTTCAGTGAACAATGTGGGCATGTGTTTCAACAGGACCTTGGGGAAACTTCTTGACCTCCCGAACCCAGCCAAGGTGAGTGAAAACCCGGCTTTAGGTTGCCGGCTGCACCTCTTCCTCTGACTCTTTACTGCCCTCTGTTGAAAAATCGGCACCATGCACAGAGTTTGTTAGAACGAGTGCTCTATCGCCCCCTACAGGACACATTGTTTTCGACGTTACAAATCTATGATTGATGTCTCTTATGTGAATGAGGGTCCCTTTGAATGGGAAGCCCTTCTGCAGTGCCTTATCAGGACAACTGTTCTAGCTGGACCTGATTCTTCCCCCGCTTTTTTAAATTTTTTAATGGCAGTGAAAATAGACACAAAAAAACTTTCACCAGTTCAAGAATTTCTACACGTACAATTCAGTGACATTGATTACATTTTCTTGCTGTACAACACTTGCTTTATGAAGGAGTTGGCCTCATGGGAACATATGGATTTATTGGGACACTTTTATTTGGGACCATTTTTTTTCTTGGCAAAATCTTTATATTTATACAAGTTGTTGTTATTAAGTGCCGTGGAGGCAGTTCTGAATCATTGCAACCCTGTATAGGGATTTTCGAGGTGCAGCTGGTGAGTTTGAAACACCGACCTTACTGTTCAAACTGAAAAGGAAACCTTGGAAAACGTATACAGGGTCACTATGAGTTGGAACTGACTCAATGGCATGTAACAACAACAATATTTATGAGTCCTGGTGTGGCACTGTTGTTGTTGTAAAAGGCTGTCAAGTCGGTTCCGACCCATATGATCCTGTATAGGGTTTTCGAGGAGCAGCTGGTGAGCTTGAACCAGCTGGTGACTGACCTTGCAGTCTGGAGCATTAACCCACGGCGCCACACCAGGTTAATGGAATTAAAAGATAATGGAATTTTCCCACAAACTTTTTGAAACTCCCTTATGCGTGTACATTGTTATTGTTGTTGTTAAGTGCTGTAGAGTTGGGTTCTTACCCATAGTGACCCTGCATAGGGTTTCCAAGGAGTAGCTTGTGAACTTGAGCCGCCAGCCTCCCTGTTCAAGCGGACTTTGCAGTTCAGCATGTTAACCAACAGCGCCATACCAAGACTCCTTATGTGTACATACATACATATAAACACACACATATATGGAGCCCTGGTGGCATTATAGGGTAAGCACTGGACTGTTAAACACAAGGTCGGCAGTTCAAACCTATAAGCCCAAATTGATTTGATGGCAATGGGCTTCATTGTTTTTGGTATATATATGGAGTCCTGGTGTGGCACTGTAGGATAAACACTGGACTGCTAACTACAAGGTTGGTGGCTCAAGCCTACCAGCCGCTCCTTGGAAACCCTGTACAGGGTGGCTATGAGTCGGTACTGACTCGATGGCACCTAACAACAACAATGCTCTGGTAGTGTAGTGGTTACGAATCAGGCTGTGAACT